CTGTAATCCTAGCTACTCAGGAGGCTGAGATCTGAGGATCGCGGTTCAAAGCCAGCCCGGGCAGGAGAGACCGTGAGACTCCTATCTCCAACAAAACCACCAGAAAACCGGAAGTGGCGCTGTAGCTCAAATGGTAGAGCGCTCGCCTTGAGCTGAAGAGTTGAGGGACAGTGCCCAGGCCCAGAGTTCAAGCCCCACGACCGACAAAAAAAAACCAAAACACACCAAAACAACAACAACAACAACTTTTCAAGTGACTATAAGTGCCCTAACTCTCCAACATAGACCAGGGGCTGCCACTTCTTGTTTCCTCCCCTCTTAGTGCCTACAACTGGTTCTCAGTCCAAACTCCTAGGAACCAACTGCTAGTAGGATGCTGTAGAGATGTAGAGAGGAGATGGGTTAGGAAGTAGTCAGATGCCAGCAGACGAACAAAGTAGAAAGAAGGAGGAGGGTAAAGGAGAAAAGAAGAAACTAGACAAAAAAGGGAAGGTGTTGAGGGGAAGAGGCAGAAAGAGAGGAAGAGGCAGCAATAGAGCTTGGTCCTCAGTGTGAATCAGCACTTTCAGCCTGCAACTATAATAGGCACACAACCGGATCCAGGGTTTACCCAGGGTTTACACCAAGAGCTAGGAAACTGGTAACTGCTCTTTCCTGGCCAGGCCTCGGTGCATTAAGAGTAGCCTAGGAAAAAAATGAAGAGGGAACTGAAAGAAGTCTGTGTGGATGAGAATTAGCTTTTCACAGCAATCACTGCAGACAAAGGAGGGACTTGGGAGGAACTGGCTGAGACAGGGCCTCAAAACATGAACTGTTGAGACTGAGTCAGGTTATCTGTGTCCCAGTTCCATGACTGAGGGAGGGGTAACCTTGGGCGCATTTCCAGCCTTTTCTGTGACTCAATTTCCCTATCTACTTCACTTCTGTGGGTTGTACCTGCTCTAGTACTACATGATTTGGTGTCCTTTATTGATACTAAAGGGAGTTTCTCTAAGGAGGTAACTATATTGCTAAAGGCAATATGAGGTCCTGGGAGTGATGCAGGCATTAGCTTCATGCTACCACATTTGTGGTCACCGCCACCTTCTCTCACTGCTCTGCAATACCACTGTGCTCCGGTGCTATTCATTCCCCTCCTCTCCCTCCACCGTGATGTCCCTCTATTTGTTTCACTCGTCTCTTCTGGGCCCACACCAAAGTGAACGATCAGAATAAACCCCAACCACCTATTGCCTGAAAAATGTTGTAGCCACTGTTGTAGATGAATTAAGACTATGACAAGCTACACAGCAGCAGCTCACGTCTGTAATCCTAGCTACTCAGAAGGCTGAGATCCAGAAGATCACAGTTCTGCCTTCACAGGCAAAAGAGTTTGTGAGACTCCATCTCCAATTAACCAGTAACAAGTTGATCTGGAAGCATGGCTCACGTGGGAGAGTACCAGTAAAGCAAGCAAGATGAGTGAGAAACCCTGGGTTCAAACCTAAGTACTACAAAAAAAAAAAAAAAGACAGTATAATTATCTGATTAGTAACCTATCTCCACCTCCAGATGTTAAGCATCTTAAGGTTAAGGACTGCATTTTAATTTGGCTTCCCAACACCTCACAAAGCCTGGCACAGCTCACTTGACTGCAGTATGGTGGAGAGAGGGGAGGTGGAAAAAATACAAACGAAAAACCAAGTAATTTTGTGGCAGACTTGCACTTTCCCTCTACACTGCACCGAAAGTCCTTTTTTTTTTTTTCACTGAAATTCTACTTGCCCTGTAAAATCTTTGAGTAAGTGGATTTACTCAAACAGAATCCTAACTTCCAGCTATCCATTCAAATGGGACAGAAAAGAAACTTCCATCCAGAAACCTTTTCCCTAGAGAATAACGACAATCTCATTGGCCCTGCCCCAACTGACACAATCTGTGCGCGAGTTCACATGCTCCTCGCATCTTGTTATGCGGCACTCTAAGTGTTCCTTTCCTCATCCCAGCCCCAGCTCGAGTCTGTAAACACCCTCTGAGAATGGAACTCAGCAATACCTCTGCCTCCCTTCAGTTACTGTCCAGTGCTGGGTGGACAAGAGAGAATTTCAGTTCCCAAGATACTGATCCTAAAGAGAGTTTCTTAGGGGATGGCCAGGATGCACAGATGTCAGCCCACACCCCACACCACCATTGTCATTCCTCAATGTTCAACCACACCTCCATCTCTGCATTTCTCTGTCTCTCTGTCTCTGTGACTCTCTCTCCCCCCCCCTCCCTCTTTCTCTATCTAATACCAAGTCCTTCCGTTCCTTTCCCTCTGCCTCTCTGGTCCTCATCATCCTGAGAGGAAAGCATCTTACTTAGGAAGGTCCCAGTGTGGGG